CATCATTTCCTCGAAAGGATTTAGGCAAACTAATGATAAAGTCCATCAAAATGTTATCCCACTTATTTTTAGGTACACGTAGAGAATGATAAAGGCCAACAAGCTTTTGATGATCAACTTTGAACATTTGGCAAGTAAAACAACCATGTACATACTTCTCAACATCTAACTTCATCCCTAGTAAAAAAAAAGCCTTTTTACCAACATATACATTCTCAATACCCCTAGATCCCCAACACTTGGCACATCATAACACTCAATCAAAATACGTTTGATGAGCTTGTCAACACCAAAAACCACCACATCTCCCTTCTTCACTGAGATTCCATCTTATATCTCAAATGCCACAAACTTGTCACCCTTCGAATCTGTAAAGGTGTCCCTTGACAAAACCTTCATGCAAATATCAATGATAAAGTACTCAAAGTTAGCAAACTCCTTAAGTTTATCCAAGAGATCACTAGATAATATCACAAACAAGATTGAATTCATCATTTTGGATAAAGCATTAGCCTTGTATTGGATCTTAATGCACATGTCCTATAAAAACTCTTGCGAACAAGCCAAGAATCAACCTCTTAGTTATCATAAATATCTGATGACAACTTCCATTTCACAATACTATAATTTTTGGCATGTTTGACATATCAATGGTAATCACAAACACAAGATTGATTCAACCCTTGAAAGTCCATGCAAAGCAAGAAATCCTTAATGAAATGGATGGAATCCTTAACCTCCTTAATGTTATTTTAAACTGCAGTAATTTAGTGTTTTTGCCACACAATAATATTATCAAGGGTTTCTTCTTCCTTGTTATGGTAATCATCACTAACACCATACTCCTTATCATAATCTATATTCTACTCATCTGCCATCCCCTAAAGAATGTACTACTCCAATACCAATAAAATGAACAAGATAAACCCTAGACCAACCTAAATCCCACAGGCCATGGAATATTCTTAGAATATCTTGTGGTTTGTGTGAATTAACCAACATTTCACAATGGTTTTTCTAATTAAAGTTAATCAAAAGCCTAACATTTATTTTCTTTCTCCATATCATCCTTTCAACCATTTCTGTAAATAAAATAAAGATCTTTTTGTTGATTGTCCCACTTTGTAGTCCATGTTTCTAGATAAGAGGTCTATTTGAAAATCCATATCGTAATTCAGTGAAGTACGCAAGTTAGGTTCCACAAACAAATGGAAGCTTTTGGCTGTGTAGCAATCAGTTTTGTTTCGCTCACACAACAAATTTGTGGTTTATTAGTAATCTCGCTAGATTAGTTTTGTGGTGCTTTTCAGACTGAAGACACAGTGTCACAAGGCTGTGCCATTTTTTTTGTGCATACAGATTCCCCATGTCCTGATTACGCTCCATAACTTGGTGCACACCCACCAGGCTCATCCGTTCTATATAGCTGAGATAGCTGGAGCAAGCCAGCAAGTTGACAATGCAGCCATAGTTGAGTGGGCAGTTCTGGGTGGAGATTGGCATGGCTACGAAGAGAGCCAGAGCAGAGCTGTGGCAGTGGCAGGCAAAATGTCTGCAAGAAGCAAAGCCACAGCACAGTAGGATGCCCAAATATGGCAAGTGCATTCCCAATGGTTGTAATGGTTGTAGTTTTAATGTGAAACAAGATTCTAAACGGCAAGCAGGTGGGCAACTTAATCAAAAACAGCCTCTTGAGGAAGGACCGCTCTTCCCCTCTTCAAAAAGTTATAGTAAATATTAAATTTCATCTTGATCTTTTTTAATATTGACAATACATAATTCTTAATTTATTTTATATGAAAGAGTATTCTTTCACTTTGGAATTGGAATGGTGTTTCCAATCAAAACAAAGACAATGCTGGAAAATTTGTCACGTCCAGTGTGTTTTCGGGGGAAGACATATGAAATCATAGTTTCCAAATCCACAACAAAAGGGCGAAGTTTTGGGCAAGCTTTCTTGGACCAGAAACACCTCAAGCTTCCGATAGTGTGCTTCTCATATTCTTCCCGCTTAGCTACGGCAACTTTTGTTAACAATTTCCATTCATTTGGATCTGGATAAAATATCCTCTTGAAACTAAGATCAGATGCTTTTGGTGTTGATGCATCACGCTCTTCCCAAATGCTAAACTCTTTCTTCGCAATGACCTCAAGCATTCTTCGCCCCTCATAATAGAAGTCCCTAGGGTAACTCCTTATCTCCTGTTGTTCTGAAATTCTCCATTCATCACCCACTGTCTGAAAACAATAGAATGGACAGGTGCGCCACCGCCTCAAGTCAGGGGTATACATCACAGCGTTATCCCGGAAACACTTGTTGATAACAATAATTACGTATCTTTCCCTCTCAGAGCATAGCTCTATTCTAGAGCTTAAAATCCCGTCATTCATCTGAGAATCTGTGTTGAAAAGCATTTTGTCAATGGCAGGCAGTTCCTCCCATTGCATGAGCACAGGATTACCAACATAAAGCTTTGTTCTAGAACGTAAGAACACCATGCCTTGGTTAGTACCCAAAACTTGGTAATGATCCTTGAAATCTGGGAACGGGTCATCCAAGAAGGAACCTGAGAGTGGACACCAAGCTTTGAGAGCGTCGTTAACATACGTGAGAATCCAAACCCCCGAATCCATTGTAGCTCTAGATTTGAAGTCTGGTGATTGAACGATTTCTCTCCATGCCTTACACACGCTGCTTGCACGCACTGCACTTCGATTATCTAGACGCGATAAAATCTCCCGCAAGATTCTCACCGGTAGAAGCGTCATCCTGCGCAACCTAGGCCAATTTAAGGATTATATGCCCCAAATGAAAAGGAAAAGACAACCAAGAATATGCTTCATATAAAAACAGGTATATTCTAGAGTTACCGATCTCCTCCTCCAGACGTAAATGCGCCAGCCCGGACGCGCATACGTCCCAAGAACCACTGCTGGAATTTCATCATCGCGGCATTCTCCAAGAGCAGGCATGATCAGCGCTCATCGGGCTTGAATCCCGCCAACTTCATGCTGTTTGCCCCCTGTGGGAGGCCGCGAGAGGCCAGAGAGGTCTTCGATCAGATCGAGAACAACGATGTGAAATGGTGGAACTCGATGATCACTACATATGCCCAGAGCGGGCATAACAGATCGCACTTGTGAGCACGGTGCTCTAGGCGGCTGTGTTTGACAAGAACGTGGTCCTCCTGGATCGCTGCTTGTGCTCGGCAAGGAGAGGCCGAGAAAGTGCTCTTCGAGAGGAAGTCACCTTTGCCAGGGTTTTCAATGCTTGTTGAAGTTTGCTGCTGGATCATTGCACCACTGCCATCGTGATCATGTAGCGAGGTTTTCGAAGCACAAGACTGCTGGGAGCGAACTTGCTGTGATATCTGGGAGGCAGCTGTGTTTGACAAGAGTGTGGTCTCCTAGAACACTATGATCGCTGCTCCAGCTGCCAAAACTCGGGATCAAGCCTCAAGTGCTTCGACTCCAACAAGAACGTGCTCTCATCAGCATGTACAACGAACTTGACATGGACAGAGTTCACGCTTTGATTGTGGCCTACACTTAACACGGCAGGAACCCAGAGGTCTACAAGCAGATGGAATGGAGTCACTAGTGGTTCTGAGTGCCTATTCCAATGCTAGCGATTTGGAGCTCTGCATGCACGGCTCTTGGCAAGGAAATATGGAAACATAAGGAGACAGTAGGCATTGTTTAATTGAATGATTTTTTTGTTGTTCAAAAGAATTTTTAATGCTTTATAAGTTTTCCACATGCCCACGTCCACAACAATGCAATAAACAACATGAGTGGCAACAATGGAAATAAAGGTATAGAAAATACCTCAAACACTAGTTGTCCCTAGGCTAGTGCCGGAGCTAGTGCTCGGCGCAGTGCCAAAGCTGGTGCCAGTGGTGCCGGAGCTGGATGAAACTCTGGAGGTACTACTAGATGAAGCTCTGGAGGTACTGCTGGAGCTGATGCCGGAATTGCTCGACCTGGGGCCAAAAATGATGCTATCGAAGGTAGAAACTCTGGTGTTGGAGATAGTGTTGAACACTGTATTGAAAGTGGTGCTAGAAATGGTTGTGGCGGTGCGCTTTCTGTGGGTGACTCCAACCATGGCTCTTCACTACCCCAATCCCATGTCTCCCAAACTGGAGGGGGAGGTGGTGGAGGCGAAGGTGGAGGCGCCATCGATAATGGAGTCTCGTGATCACTCTCATCCTCACTTCCACCACCACCACCACCACCACCTACGATACCACCAACACCTGCGATACCACCACCACCGCTACCGCCGATATCACCACCATTGCCACTGTCGCTGCCACCAGAGCCTCCCACAATTACTGGAATTACTGGAGGGGGCTTCGATAGCAATGGGGCAGGACCTATAGAGGGCGTGGAGGAAGAGGCAGTCGATGGCACGCTCGAGGATGGTGGAGATGAGGCGGAGAAACTTGGAGATGGGGCTGCTGCTGGTGAGGAGGAGAAAGGGACGCTCACTGCTGGTGGCGAGGAGACGCTCACTGCTGGTGGTGAGGAGGATCTTGGCGCTGTGAAATTCGTTGGCGTGCTTACCGGGGCGGGGCTTGGAGATGGGGCCAAGAAGGGCGATGACACACTCATCGGAGATGAGGCTGCTGCTGGTGAGGAGGAGAAAGGGACGCTCACTGCTGGTGGCGAGGAGACGCTCACTGCTGGTGGTGAGGAGGATCTTGGCGCTGTGAAATTCGTTGGCGTGCTTACCGGGGCGGGGCTTGGAGATGGGGCCAAGGAGGGCGATGACACACTCATCGGAGATGAGGATGGGGCTGCCGCTGCCGCTGCCGCGCTTATTGGGCCAGACGACGATCCAGGAGATGGGGCGCTATCCGGGGCTGGCGCCCATGTCGTGGATAGCCGGGCAGAGAATGCCGCTTCTTCATCCGGATCCGACAGCTTGCATGCAGGCGTCGAGAGATTCGCAACAACAAGCTCTTGCGCCCACGGCACCGCCATAGAACCCTAGCTCACAAAATGGGCGGGAGACTATAAACTTTTATCCTTCTTTGCTTAGGATGATTGTGCTTGGTTTTCCTGCGCAGACACCCCGACGCAACAGAGATGTTAACGTTGGAGAGCAGCACGTATGGAGCACTGTCATGTCGATCCAGCTCCATAGCCTCGTCCGCCGCTCTCCTAGCCCGCTTCAAATGCCCGTGAGTTCCACACGCCCCCAGCAAGCTCGTCCACCCCACGCTGCCAGGATTAAACGGCATGCTGTGGAGCAAATCCTCAGCCTCCTCCAGCTTCACAGCGCGCGATAGAACCGTCACAACGCCCGAGTAGTGATCGAAAGTTGGAGTGATCCTGTCCTCGATCATCGACTGGAAGTACCACTTACACTCGTCAACGAGGCCGGTGTGGCCACACGCCAACAGGAAAGTCGGCTCCAGCGGTTTGTAGCCGTGGAGCTCGAAGAGGCGGTAGAACCAGAGCGTGTCGATGCCGTAGCCATGGTGAGCGTGGGCTGCGATGATCCCGTGCCAGCACACACGGCGTTCTTGGCATCCATCCTCTCGAACATACGTCGAGCTTGCCACACTTTGCGTAGAGATTAAACGCCGCGCACTCCACCGCCGTGTTCCGCTCCAGCTCGGGGCTCTGCCTCACGGCCTGCTCGAAGATCTTCCTCCCGCTGTCGAGCAGCCTCGCGTTGGAGCAAACGCTGAGGATGTTGGTGATGGTGTGGGCGTCGGGTGTTACGTTGCTCTCGCTGACCATCTTGCTGTAGAGCTCGAGAGCGTGCCACCGTTTTGAGCGTAGGCCGCGATCATGGCGTTCCAGGCCATCACGTCCGGTTGGAGCTGCTCGAAGACGTGGAACGCAGCGTCAACCTGGTTGCACCTGGCGTACATGTGGACGAGAGCGGTCTTGAGGCTGAGGTCGGAGCTATATCTGCTGGAAGAGACTTGCTCGTGGATCCTGTATCCTTCTCTCACGGCTCCAGGCATCGAGCAAGCAGCGAGAGCTCCAGCGAAAGTCCCCTCGTTGGCTTTGATCCCTGCGGAGCTCATCTCCCAGTAGAGCCGGACACCGTCCTCGTAAGCTACCAGCATCGCGTTCCAGCAGTTTGCGCTGGATTTGAGGTGCCTGGGTACATGGAGATGAGCGCACCTGCACAGCCGTGTCCGTGAAGAACTTACAGAGTCTGTCAAACGGTGAATGACTATACCTTCCCAGAGTGACTCCATAGCCGAGCACGCAGCGATGACCGCCAGCATCGTCACCTCGGTCGGCTGGACTCCTTCCAGGATCATCCCCCGGTAGAGCCTGAGAGCTCTTCGAGCGTCACCACCTTGGACGTAAGCACGACTTCATCCGCTTGAACACCGCCTTGGCTTCGCGAATCTCTCCACAGCTCGCATACATTTTAATAAGCGCGTTGAGAACCACCGGAGATTGAGAGCAGTCCTTGGAGGCTACGTGAAGCTTCTGACAATCTTTAAGCTCCGCACAGGCGCTTAGAATGCTCGAGAGTGTCGACTCATCCGCATCCAAGCCTCGCTGCTTCATCATGTCGTAAAGATCGACAGCGGCCCTGCTGTATCCTCCTGCTCGTAGGCCGTGATCATCGCATTCCACACCACGACCGCCTTTGTGTCCTTGCAGCTCTGGAAAATCGACAGCTCCAGCCTCCCACACTTAACGTACATGTTGGTGAGTGCTGCCACCAGAACTCCATCGCTGAATCCATCTCTCCTCGCCAAGACCAGTGCATGCAGCGCCTGCCGGAGCTCCAAATCGTTGGCATTGGAACAGGCGCTCAGAACGCTGGTGAAAGTCACCTTGTCCGGCTCCATGCCTTCTCCCTCCATCTCGGTTCCTCCCGTGCTGAGTGTAGGCCACGATCAAAGCCGTCCAGGAGACCACATCGTGAGCTCTCACTTTCGAGAAAACTCGGCTGCCCGCGTCAAGTTCGTTGCACTTCCCATACATGCTGATGAGAGCGTTCTGGACCTTGATGTTGGAGTCGTAGCCGTGATCAACGCCCGAGTTTTAGCAGTCGTAAGCTTGCAGAGATACCCAGAGCAATCACCACCGTAACTTCGTCCCGATGGACTTTCTGCGCCACCATCTCGTGATAGACTTCAAGAGCTTCCCTGTCCAGATTATTCTGTGTGTAAGCTCCCAGCATCGCGTTCCAGGACACCACATTCTTGTGCTGGATCCCATTGAAAACTTGTCTCGCCATGCCAACTTTCCCGAACTTGCGATACATGGTCACGATGGCAGTGGCCACGGTCACATTGGCTTCCAGGTGAGAGCCTCGAATACGATCTTGGATCCGCTTTCCCACCTCCCGATGATCCAGCATCAAAGAGCAAGCGTTGAAAACGCTTGCAAAGGTGACTTCGTTGGGCTCCAGTTCCATCCTCTCGAAAAGCTCCAGCGCCTGCACGGCCTCTCCTTGCTGAGAACAAGCAGCGATCATAGCGTTCCAGGAGACCACGCTCTTGCTCTCGATCTTGTCAAAGACGGCCCTCGCAACGTCTAGTCGAAGCGCGTTCTGGACGACGATCGATGACGAGAGACCCTAAACCCTGGCATGAGCTCTGGAATGGATCTTCTTCCCTTCCTCGAGCGAGGAGAAAGCTCCCAGGATCCCAGCGAAAGTTGTGTCGCTGGCTTTCAATCCGAAACCTTCCATCTCCTCGCAGAGCTGCCGAGCTTAGTCGCTATGCCCGCCCTGGGCATATGCCGCGATCATCGAGTTCCAGCATATCATGTCCCTGTTCTCGATCCGATCGAACACCTCGCAGCCTGCCACAGCGGGCATACATCTTCACGAGCCCAGTCTCCACAACTATCCCACTCTGGAACTCGCCACTGGAAATCCTGGCATGGATCCTCCGGCCTTCTTCCAGATCCCTCAAGATGGAGCAAGCGCCAAGGACGCTGGAAAGAGTAGCGCTGTCGGGCTTGATCCCCGCCGAGTCCATGTCTCGATCGCCTTGTGGCCCCGATGGTGAAGTTCCAGGAGAAGAGGCTTCTTCGCGGGAGGGCATGGAAGACCTGGATGGCGACGTCGACGCTGCCGCATTTGCCATACGTCTGGAGGAGGTGATTGCCGAGGAATCCATCGCTGTCGAGGGCGTGGCCCTGCGGTAGGGGGGTCGCACTGCCGCAGTGCTTGAGGGCGACTGGAATTGCAAATGGTAGAGACCGTCGTCGAGGCGTGCCAATCGCTGCAAGGGAGAATCGATGATCGCTGTGCTGAGGAGACGCCGCCGCGCTTTTCGAAAGCTTGTATCATTTCCCGGCATTCGTTTGAGGACGAGGATCCTGTTTAGGGTATTCTTGTTGTTATATATGGCTTGCTATCGATAAGAGTGAATGTTAGTCAGGTATGCTCAAAGGCATTTCTACTAGTTAGATTATAAAATTTGTCTTAAAACACCCTTCCTTTCTCTGCTACAACTTACACCGACCGGAGTACATGAAGGACGCACTGCGCACCTGACACTCACACAAATTACATGCAGCTACTGTCAGCAAGTACTTGAAACAAACTATCTGCAAGTTCTTAAAAAAAAACTATCGCTGATGCCGGTTTTGTTGCCCCCCTTTCGAAAGTTTTTTGCTCTAGTCCAGCAAACAGGTCGCTAGTGTCATATCTTAGGCGGCTCAAGCTCTACATCGACGACGCGCTCGACGAGCCCCCGATCGACAAGATCGTCATCGCGCCTCATGGAAAATCCGCGTGGCTTTCTCGATTGATCCTGGCATGAGCCGCGCAGCGATCAGGGCATCGGATTGATCAGTTGATCGATGCTCTGCGAGTGATTGCGAGTGAAAGCGTGAAGGATCAAGCAGCATTCGGTAGAGGATCACAGTTTTCTAGATTTTCTAGCGAGAGTCCCCCGAGTTCCAGCTCTCTGGCGGGGCAGCTCGCCCGGAGATCTCCTCGAGTGGTCACTAGAGGTGGAACGCAATGAAATTCTCAAGCATTCCAGCAGCTCGAAAACTCAAGATTCGAGATGGAGAATGCTCTAGGAGCTCTATGCTCATGTTGGAAGCTGAAACGCCCAGTGGGATGGATGGCAAAATGCCAAATGGAAGATGGAGTTCAATGCCAACCGAGGTCTTGGATGGCAAGATGCCAAATGGAAGATGGAGCTCAATGTATGTTATCACTATCTTTTTGGTGACGATGTTATGTGTGGTAAATGCTCAAGTCGTGAGATTGCCATTGACTTTGAAAAGTCGGCCTGAATTTGGGCTTTGGGCCACAATACCTATAAATGGGCTTCCAGTTTCATTTCTTGTGGATACTGGATCAGCTGCTCCATTTGTTTTGGATGAACCTGATTTAGATAGAATTCGGGGATCATTTGGACAAGCACATGAAATTGAGGGGAAAAATTGTGTTTATTGCACAAACATAAGCTATGCTGGTGGACATTGGGTTAAAGGTCATTTTAAAGAATCTCAGTGGCTAGTTGGTAATAAACTAAAGCAAACTAGATTTTTATTAGCTAATGAATGGAGTGGCAAAGGATTAGATGGATCTCGTGGAAGTACGGTGAAAGCTTTACTGGGTTTTGGACAAAGAGAAGATTCCATAATTAGCCAGTGGAAATACGACAGATTTAGTCATTGGCATAATGGTGATCGAGGTGAAATAGTCTTTGGGGTATCTGGACATCCTAAAGGTGCTGTTATCATTAAATTGGCTAATGCTGATACTGTTTACAAAACGCAAGTATACAGGTTGACATATGATTCGGAATCTATCGCTGTGAATTTGAATATTCCATGGGACACTGGAACTGAAAACACATGGTTCGACAGTAAATTGTACGGATTAATTGCCAGGAAGATGCTTTCTACGATAAGTGATATATATTTCAACAAAACACTTGACACGGCATGCTCTCCTAAAATTGCATTTAATTTGCAATTACCACCCATACAAATTGATCTTGGACAAGGAATTTTAAAAATTCCAAAATCAAGCTATATGTCACCTATTGATGGAGTGGGATTATGTGTGAATTTTAGATTGGATGAAGGAAGAAAACCAATAAATATTATTGGTTTGTCTTTTTTGAAAAATTTGAGAGTTACATACGATTTAAGGTCACGAACTATGTCTTACATTCAAGAAATGTAAAACTATATATATCCTTAAAACGAACAGGAAAATTTCCCTCACCTAAGCTTTACCTATGAAGGCAGAGTTAGAGGCGAGGCTGATAAAAGAAGGGGAGAAAAACTAACTGAGGAAGCCCAGCCAAACCTGCTTGCCAGTAGACCCCCCTCAGACCCATTCCTCAAAAGCTCAAATTCTTGTGGAATTCTTCATAAGTTCAGGGTCTGATATAGATTTTGGTGCTGGAACTTCACTTCCCTGCTTGTTTTCCAGCGCGTTGGCACTCCATTGCCAAGCTCGCACTGCCGACAGTGAGCTCGCGAGCCGTGAGTCCATGGGTATTTCTGAGTTCTCTTTTAAAAGCTGTGATCACCAGCTCTGGAAAATCTCACTCGATAAGAAAAGGCCATGCCTTGCCGAGCTCCAAATCGTTGGCATTGAAACAGGCGCTCAGAATGCTGGTGAGCTTCCGGTGACTTTCTAGCTGCTACTCACGTTTTCTTATTTTGGCGTTTTGGTTGGGGAAGGGGACTGCGCGAAGGCCGTGGGAATCCAGAGCTCATCTTTTGTTATCCATAACTGAGACCAGCATCCGGAGGTCCCCCTCACGGAGATCAAGCGTTGCACGCCTGCTTGTAGAACTCAAGAGCTGCCGGGAGAGCATGGAAGATCTGGATGGCGTCGTCGACGCTGCCGACGAATAGTAGGAATATGCCTATAATTTTTAACTATAATTATTCGGTCAGAATATAGATTCAGAAACTACACATGTCTTTGACATTCAGTCAGTTTTTTTCAATGGTGCAGTTATATCCGCAATAATTGAATCAGTTAATAACATTTATGATAATAGTCCCTGTTATTCTGGATTTTCATTTACAACCCTAGACTTACTATTATATTATCAAACTCAAGGTGGTGGCTTATACTCGCAATAAAAGGATGGAAGAAGCAAAAGGCCCTTCTGACCGTGCTTGGCAGCCCCAATACACGAAATCTGTTCTGACCCAATATCTAGTTGCTGAGGATAAGCATAAGGAAAACTTGCAAGTGGTCTTGTTTTTCTGTTTGGAAACGCTTATTTGACAAGCAAACTAACCTTCCATATTTCTATTTGATCTTGTATTGATCTATAGGCTACAAAGAATAAATAGTGCTGCATTGATCATCTACAGGCTCACATTCTGGCCCTATCGGTCTAAGATGATTCTTTATTATCATTATTATTACTATTTGACTTGCTGGTATTTTTTTAATTTGTTGATATAATGTTATTAAGATTTTCAAGCTGCTTAATTATTAATCTCGCAGCTTAATTTGGTTTTTATATTAATATTATAAATATCTTGTTGGTTTTATGATTTTTTATATGATTAAATATAAAGTTTTATCTACATTTTGTAATTTATAAATGCTACTTACAATATAAATAACGTGTGATCATTTAATGGCGTGATTCTAAGTAAAGAACTGGATGCTCTTGTATTGCCTTTGTGATTTGGACGTGCCATTAGAAATATTTCTTTTTAGCTGGTCATGTATCTTTTGCCACTAAGTGTCTAGAGCTCTTGGTTTATTCAAAACACTCTCAAACCATATAGAGAATTTTTATTGATTGTATGCCCCTCCCTAGTATATCTCATGATTATAAGTGAGTGCCATGCAAGCAAGAGTTATAGTAGCGAGTGGGAGCTGGGTCACAGGCTGATGATCTTCTCCAACACCTCTGCCTCACAAGTGATCATTCCAGCTTCAAGAGCATTCTCTTTGCACCTCTGGAAAATCTCCAGGAAAACACCTCTCACTTTGGAGAGTGTCAAGCTTGTTTTGGCAATTTTTTAAGAGTTTCGAATGTTACACAAGATGCCAAATACATGCTGGACAAAGTAGCACTGTCAGGCTTGATCCCCAAGGAGTCCATGCTCCTGAACATTTCATGCCTGTTCTTGGCAAAGGAAGAGCTCGACAGTGTTGTTGATGCTGTTGCATTTGCCATACGTGATTGGCAAGGAATCCATCACTGGTGAGGCTTCTGGTGACAATGGTATATGAATCCACCCCTGCTGTAAGGCTGCCACATTACCACAGTGCTTGAGAAGCAAGGACATTGGGAGAATTGATGATGGAGATGCTGGAGTTTGTCCAAAGATTTAAAAAAATGGGATAAATCCATTAATAAATAATCCATTATTAATGGGATAAATTTTTATCTCATTTTTTAAATTTATAATGAAGATGTTTATTTTAGGGGTGTAAAGAATATATTTAAAATATTTGAACCTTAAACCTTCTCTAATTCACTCCTAAGGATAAGTTACAAGATTGAAAATGTAATGCATTGCCACATCTTGTAATTGAGAATAGGCTAAGGCTGTTGTCTAGGGGCAGGGATTTTTTCATGGTAAATTGTTGGCAATGAATATATTATTATTGCCTCTGATTACTTGATTCATTGAGTGGAGAGTTGATGCTTTTGCTAATGTGTCAAGGACTGCTATTAGGTACTTCCTCCTCAATCGAGTGGTGTTTTAGCATTCATGTCTAGAGTGGATTTC